CTGGGCATGGTGGCACATGCCTGTAGTCCCAGCTACTTGGGAGGTTGAGGCAGAAGGATTCCTTGAGCCCAGGAGTTTGAGGTTGCTGTGAGCTAGGCTTATGCCATGGCACTCCAGCCCGGGCAATAGAGTGAGACTCTGTCTCAATCAATCAATCAATCAATCAATAAATGATGTTACTGATAGAGGGATAAAGTGATGGATAAATGTAATAAAGAAAATATTGCAAAACATTAATTAGGTGGTAAGTATACGGATGTTTATTGTCAATTCTTTCACCCTTACTATACTATGAAATTTTTCATAATAAAATATTGGAGGAAATTTTAAACTATTAAATTCTATCCATTGTGTTAAGTCAAACACAGCATATCTTAAAATCCACCAATTCCACTCCCACCTATATACCCTAGTCTATAGAAACTCTTCATATGAGCTCCAGGAATACTCCTGGCAATACTTTCCATAATACCAAAAAAATGAAAAACAACCTAAATATCCATCAAGTAGATTGAAGCTACATTGATTCATGGTAGCAGAGAATATGAATAAACCACAATGTGAATGAATCTTAGAAACACAATTTTGAGTGAAAAAAAGCAAGTCATAAAAGCATACATACAAATGTTGACATTTCATAAAGTTAAAAAAACAAGTAAAACCAAACAATATCATCTAGGGATACACACAAATGTAATAATCTATGAAATAAAGAAAAGAAACAAAATTTTCAGGGTGGCAGATGGGAGAGAATGTAGGAACACTGAAGCCAGCAGCAGCACGCAGGTTACTTCAATAGGCCAGTGTTCCGTTTACTAGCTTGTGTGATTTCATCAATGTTTGCTTTTTATGCTTCATAACTTGTATTTGTATGCTACATTCTTTTAATGATTAGAATATTTCAGAATTCAAAATGAGAAAAAGAGGGCTATCTGATCAAAACTCAGCAAAAAGAAAAATAAAAAACTTAAGCTTCAAGATAATTATCCACTATTTGTTCACAACTATTCAGGTGTATGTAAGTCTACATTTCCTTAGTCTACGCTGGCCTCACTCTAGGGACAAGATGTTTCAGAACTCAGAATTTTTTGGATTTTAGAATGGTAACACAGTACGTATACTGTATATTCCCCAAAACCCTCCTGGGAATCTGGGGCAGCACGCTGAAATCAAACACATTAATATTTCTCCATTGAAAGCTATTCCTATTTACACCAAAAGGAATGACTGGACTACAAATATTCTAATGTCAGAATATCAGGTCAGATGTCACCATCAAATAAATTTTACCAAAAACTTTGTTTTCAGAGCTTTTTATATATCAGAATTGTGGATAAGACATTGTAGACCTGTACATGCAGAGAGGTTCAACTTTCCCTCAACAGATAAGTTCCACATATCACCTTTTTTTTAACAACTCCCTAAATAACTCATTTTCTTTAAAGATTTCCTAACTATCAAAATGCAAGTTTTAAAGAAAATTAATCTCCTTTATGCTATAAATGGCAAATCCTCAATCCACCCACAATATATAAAACAATTTTTCAACTTTTATTGTATTTTGTTATTATATACTTATAATACACTCAATTATTACATAGTTGGAAAAAATACACAATTTTATTCTAATTAGGCAAATAACCAGCAAGCTGAGTCTAATCACCATAAGAAATATTTTCATATAGTTTAAAAGTATAATGAAATTGATCAAATCAAGTGTTTTGTGTTCTACGCCACAGAAAATTGTAAAGGAATTTTTAATCATCTTTGCCCATCCACACAAGTCTTAAGTAACAGTTTACCCAAGCCTGAGTCCTACAGGTTATTATGACTGTTTACTCTTTGAAAGAGTAAAATAAATCAAAAGCACAGACTTTTAGAAAGACATCTTTCCAGCATAACACTAAAACACAATTCTTTTTACCATAATAGGTAAGCAGTTTGAGAAGCTGAGTCTTGACAACAAAACACAGGTATTTACCCAAAGGTTTCAAACACTACAAAAGCATATCACTGAAGATTCCCCTCCAAAAAAAAGGCATTACAGAAGCAAACCTCTCTTGAAACTCTATTTTTAATAACAAGCAGCTCACAATCTACAACCACAAAAGATATATATTAATATTTATTCTCTTCAGATTAATCTAAGGACCTGCACAGAGCAATGAGCTTTTGCAGAGAAACAAGATAATGTCATCTGCACACTAATACAGTCTTGGAATCCAGCTCTATCTAAGCTTAATGGTTGTTAGAACTTTTCTGATGGAAAACTCAAATGATAATGCTACTCACTGAAAATTATGTTGCAAGAAATAGTTGCAAATAAAACCATTTTCCTTTTTAAAAGGAAATTTAAAGCAATTAACTAAAAAGACGCCTAATGCACACATAGGTGAACTAATTCAATGAGCATAACTATCAAGCACTCAGCTAAGCACTTTACATGTTATTTCATGTAACTGTCATATCTTGTAGGCCCAGCCTACCAAAAACATTGCACAGTAACTGCTGGTATACTTCGTCTTCTTCCTCTTGTCATCTTAGGCAATGTACAATTTTCAGTGGTACTTTCTGAGCTCCTGGATGAAGTAACTAAATTTCATGGCTGTGTTTGTGTTAGATTATATTCCTTTAAGTCTTCTCTGTTAAAGTCAAAACACTTATTTTCTATAGCAAAACCAAAAGAAATGCCATATGCAGTAAAATAATGATCAATTGTAAAATGGAACCTAAATGGTAACGTTTCAAACCTTTAAGGTCATACCAGCAATTATTTCATCAGTATTTCAGGAAATATAAGTTTTTATAACATTCTTTTAACGATTAATTTGCAGTTTCAGTTTGGAAAGATGAAAAGATTCTGCAGATGGATAGTGGTAACCATTGCACAACAATGTGAATGTACTTGATGCCACTGAACTGTACACTTGAAAATGGTAAATTTTATGTTATGTATATGCTACCACAATGAAAAACTTCATTTGTTCTAATATTTCATACAATTAAATATACATACTTTAAAATGAATTTATTATAAAATGCTTTTTAGAAATTTTTTCAGTTTATCAATTTGCAACAGAGGCACCAGGAACTGTGCTCCAAAGAGTAAGGGACACTTTTTGACTTGGTAAGATTTACTGCACCTCACAACCATAACATGTAATCAACTAAAAGCAGCAATAACAGAGTCTATCAAGTCATCACCAAGTGATGTCAACTCTCGTACCAGTAATATGTTACCTTAATAAAAGTGTACCTTGGCTATATTAAGCACTCAATAAATGAATGGACTAAATTGTTCAATAAGCACATGATGTTCCATTTTTTAAAATAGCATTCATTTTAATAATTTAGAAAATATTTTAATAAAACAAAAGGTATGATCGTGGTACATGTATAAACACCTCAGGCTCAAGTTCAAAATAACCCTAATAATTATGATTAATATCACTAAAGACCCAAAAGATGAAAGAGAAGTATAAAAAATTTCTATCTGGGATTGAGTATGAACTTGATGAATACTTGAGATTTGCTGCACTATTTTTAACTGAATTTTCTGGCCTTAGGTCAAAGTTTTGCTAGCAAAATACCAAAGTGAAAATGCTGGGAGTGAAGCCCAGAGCCTCTGCTTTAGCCTAGGAAAATCCATGCCCTCCATGCAACCAATCTTAGTCCCAGTTAAAGACTTCCACAGACTGTCCAAGATGTCATGCTCCCAAGAGAAGACAGGAAGAACACACGAACCAGAAAATCAGAAAAAAAAAAAAAAAAAGACAAACACATATGATAAAATACAGTACATCACACTGCCTTCTGTGCATTGCACAGAAAGACACACACTCTTCAGTCAGTTCCTGCATTTTGGCAAAACAGGACTGAGTCACTCTGCAAATGATTCCTGAAACCTCAAAGGATAACCGACAGCCTCTGAAGAAAAGTCAGTCAGTCCCTGGAAAGGGAGGAGAGACAGTTTTTCTCATCACATAGTGACTAGGTTTATCCCAGCAAGGACTAGAATTGAACATCTGCATTCTGGCACAGAATGTCTAAAGGATCTAAGGATCACCCACCCTAATTCAAGTCTTCCAGAGTTAACTTAATATCCAGAACATCTTTTTCACTTTCTTCTTTTCCCCAGGGTAAAAGTCGACACCATTTTTTCCCATAAATGCACACTAACCAAACTGTCTGCGAAATACTGTTGTCAATCCTAACAAAAATAAGGAATAAGCCAGCATTCTACTGTGCATTTCTAATTTGTAAAACATGTTCCTTTCTTAATCAAGAGCCAATTAGCAGCCTTTACTTGGCTATTAATTTGGATTTCAAAGGCCGTCTTTGTAAAGAGATACAATGAAGGGGAGAGATTTATTCCACTCTACGATTCAGACTGATTTTTTGGCTCTGGCACAATAATCTCAGGACATTAAATTTACAGAAATTAAAATGTTCTAAACTGCAATTACGGAGTGTCCAAAGACAATGAAAAACAACAAAACTTTAGCTATGTGTTCCAGGATTTCAAACTAAAAGGAAAGTGAGGGCAGCTCTTTGTCATGTACCCCAGGTGAGTATTTCCAATAGGGACAGCATCAGGTTTCTTTCTCCCTAGCTTGCACCCAAGTCCCCATGCAGCATGACACTCTTTCAAATTGGCTAGTCTGGTGTATGAAGAATGGCCCGTCCTCCACCCTACCTCCCCAGAGTGGGTAGGCGGAAGGCAAAGAGAGGTGTTTCCTCCCAGTGCTGGAAGAAAGGAACAGCCGGGGATGACACCAGCTCCAACAGGAGGTATAACAGAAGGGAGGAATCAAAGGCGGGTCACTACTCTTGGAACTTAGTCGCAGAAGCGTTTGGTCTCCGGCCTCAGCTGCCGGAAGCTGGGCGGGGTGGGGCGAGACCTCCCCCACCCCACGGATGGATGGGCACAGAGGGGTGGCAGGGGGGGGATCTGAGGTATGAGCTGGAGCGGGAAGGGCTCCCAGGCCCCGGCCACCTACCAGCAAGCTCTCCACGTTGATGGGGGAGCGAGGGTCTCGGATCAGCGCCTCCAGCTTCCTCTGGCGGCCCGCGCCGGCCCCGTCCCCCGGCACGGTCTCGGGGGCGCCGGGCATTTTCCCAGTCGGCGGGGGCCGGCTCATGCCGCCACCGCCGGGCCCGCACTCCGGCTCCTCGCGCTGGGGTCCGGCAGCCTCGGGGCCTAGCGCCGCCCCCGAACCACCGGCTCCTGGCGGGGCTCTGCCCGGGCCCACCGCCCGACTCTAGCTCGGGCTCCGGGTCTCCGGGCCGGTCCAGAGCCCAGGGGCTGCTCCCAGGGGCCCGCCCGGCCCGGCCGGGAGCGACGAGAACAGACGGCGTCCCCGCCCCTCAGTCAGATTCGCGCCGCCCGGTCCGCTGGTCCGCCGCGAGCTCCAGCAGGACGCCGCGGGCGGGAGCGGTGAAGTGGTGCCGCCACCGCCGCGGCCCGGACCGCCCCACCCTCTGGGGCCTCGGGAGGCTGAAGCTCAGGCGTGAGGGACTACGGCCGCCGCCAAGCCGCTGCCATGGTCGCCTCCAGCCGCCTTGCAGTCCCGCCGGCCCGCGCCCCTCACACGCACTCCCGCGCGGCGGCCCGTCTCCGGCCGCGCGCCGCCGCTACCCACAAGCCCTTCCGCCCGCGGCCGCCGGCGCGTGCCCGCTCGCCCCGCCCGCCCCGCGCGCCCCCGGGCCCGCCAGCTTGCCAGCCGCCGCTCGCCGTGCTGCCTCTTTCTTTGCTCCTGTCCGCTTCGCTTTGCTCTCTCCTTTGCGCCGCCTTCCCCCCCGCTTCCTCATTCTTCCTGGTTCGGGGTCCTAAGAAGCGAAGGGGTCCGGCCCGCGGCCCCTGCCGAGCCCTCGCTGGGGGAGGGGCGAGCGCGCTGGGGCTGAGCCCGCCGCGTCCCCCGCCCGCGCCCCTCCCGCCTGACCCCGCCGCGGCGGACGACCCCGTGGCCTCTGAGGCGGTCCCCCCGCCGCCCCGTGCCGCCGCCGCCGGGGAGGGGTCCGGGGAGGCCGGGCCGGCTCGCGCCCCGGGCCCCGCTGACTCAGCGCGCAGCTATGTGGGCCTTGCATCACCCGCGCCGGAGCCACGGCGACCGCCGGCCGCTGCCCCCGCGCGCCGAGCTCTGCCTCGCGGGGCCCTGCCGGGCCGCGGGGAGTTTCGCGGGAGGGTGGGAGAGGCGCCCGTGTGCACTGGGTGTCAGGAGTTGAGGAAGGGCAGAGGCGGGTGGAATCCTAGTCCTGGGGCAGGAGGGCCTGGGGTGTCGAAAACATTTCTGCCGCTCCTTGGCAGTCACCTCCGAGCCTGGGCTTAATCGCTAACCACGTCGAGGGAGCAGGAGAGCGATAGAAAAACGCTCCCCATCCGCAGGCTTTCGCGGGTCCTTTCCTTTTGCGGGGCGGAAGAGGGGTGGTTGTCGGTGCCGCCCCCCGCATTCCTGCCCTCTCGAGGCCCGTGCCATTGGTCGGATCTGCCCAGGGCGCAATCTGAAAAATATGTGCCAAGAGCTATAAAACTGTCCATAGAGCCCTTTTGACCCAGTAAACCCATTTAAGGAAATACATTTCTAAGGAAATGATCCAGAGGGGGAAGAGGGGTGGAACTTGCGGAAAGATGTTTACAGCAGGGCTATTCACAATGTTTGTAATGACCAAAACCTGGGAATGGACCCAATTGTCCAACAATTGAATAATCCAAACAAGCTCTGTCACATTAACAGAAAGAGTCCTGGCAGGTATGCAGACTGTGTCAAGCACATGAAATTTTGGCAAGTACATGAACGGTGTATTGGAAATAAACTTAAATGAAACAAAACAACCACAAAATAGTTTGTGCACACTGTTTAAGGCTATGTAAAATGAGCAGCAGTAAGAAACAGGAAAATACAGTTGTATTTTCAGTGAATGGGATTATTTTCATGTGTAAAGACACTTAAGAGCACATTAAAATTTAAAAAATTGAAAAACTGTGTTGAGATACATGAGCCACTCCAAAAAAGCCACAATCTGATAGCTATTAAGTAATAAGAATGTTGAGAACCTTCTCATTGGCATGTCAGAGATAAGCCCCCAGATAGGCTAAAGCCCTAACCTTGCAAATGTAGCATTTTAATCAGTAAGTGTTCCAAGAGCCTCTTTTGTTTTGGGTTAAAGCCACCCTTTCTTGGACTTAGGCAGGAAGAGGCCCTGGATGATCCAATATGGCTTTTTCATTTCAGTTAATAGCACTGATTTCTGGTCAAAAGGTAAGTCATTTAAGTCTGTGTGTTTAATTATTCATTTATACCTCTACAGACCTCACCAAGAGGGCAGAGTAAGCTAGACACTCCTACTTGTGCATTGGAGCAAAATAATGAGATAATCCATGATTACAGATTCTTACTTCAATGACAGGTAATATAAAAGGCAAAAGGAACATTATGTGGTTCTCAGTTTCCAAATTATCTTTGCAATGACTGGCTGTATGTTTCTGTGGAGCTTGGTGGGATAACAGGATGCCATGGTACCAAACACTGGACCTGGAAACCTTATTTAATAAGAAAGAGTAGTGATCAACAAGCTACTATACAGGGCACCTTCTACATATGGTCATTTACATAGACCGGAAAAAGTATAATATAAAAGATCTTCACCCAAGACCTGTAGCATTGTTTACCTGGACAAAGAGAAGGCTAATCTCTTGATACGAGTTAAAACTTTTTTCTGTGGGTGGGGGGTCAATACGACACTTGTTTTACAAAGTAATGCACAAATGCATTCTTGTAAAACTTCAAACAAACCAGAAATATATAGAACATAATCTGAAAAATTACTCTTCCACATCCGTTCTTATATCATTCCAGGCCTTTATCCATCCTCATACATATATGTATTTGCATATACACATGTATCTTTTTCCCACATATATGCAATTATACCACATCATAGTGTTTTGCATCTTGATTTTTCCCCTCAATTAATAATGTCTTAGAGATACGTCCATGTCTATAGACAGAAATCTAACTCATTCTTTTTAACTGTTGTACTCTATTCCGTAGTATGGCTGTACCACACTGTGTTTACTGTCAGTTAGCACAGTGGTTAAGAACAGACCTCTGTAAACAATTGCCTGGGCTACAATCCTGCCCCTACCACACACTAGCTGTGTGACCCTGAGCAAATTACCTAACTTCTCTGCGTCTCAGTATCCTTATGTTTGCTATAAAGTGCTTTGAAAGTGTGCTGGCCCTCAATAAATGATTGATATTAATAGTATTTTTTCCCTGTCACAAACAATAATACCATTGACATCCTCGTATTTTTGCCTTCATGTGGAGATATTTGAATAGTATAGATTCCTAAAAGTGAAATTGTTGTAACAAAAGGTAGGCATACTTTAAATAGTTACAGATACTGCCAAACTGTCCTTTAAAAAGGCTATACCAGTTTATGTCCTCACCATCAGTAGAAGAAACTGCCCATTTCCCTTCACTTTTGATAATATTAAATATTATAATTTTTTAAATTTTTGCCAATTTAATGGGCAAAAAAAATGACATCTTGTTTTAACTTGTATTCCCCTAATCACTACTAAAGATGGGCATTTTTTGTATCTGTTTCTTCTGAAATTACCTGTTTATATCTTTTGTCCATTGGTTTTGCCTCTTTCTTAGTGATTTATAAGAGCTCCTCATGTATTATGGATAGTCCTCCTTATTATAGTATCATGTTAAAATATGTTATAGTTTGCAAATATTTTCTTCCAGTCTGTTGCTTGTCGTTCAGTTTGGTTTTGGTATCTTTTGTCACAAAAGTTTTTACCTTTTATTCAGTCAAATCAGTCAGTATTTTCCTTTATGGCTTCTGGATTTTGTGTCTGCGCTGGGGAAATTGCAACAAGCTACAAGGAAATATTAGGAAATGGCAGTTCCTAGCACTATCAGCTCAGCTCATCCCAAATTAGCTACAGAAAGGGGCTCCCTGTGCATGCTCTTCTCCGAGGGGTCTTCTGCCCTCACTCTTGCTGCTCTGCAACTCTGTCCCATGTCAGCTGCTTCTCTTTAACATTGTCTCTGGGGTATGCTGAGCACAGGTGAGACAGAGGGACTTGGACAAAAACTTTTGTTCAATACTAAGGAAGAACAATGGGGAAATAAGCCCAGAAAATCCAGGGCATTTAAACAGGCTGGCCGATCGGAGGGTAAGGCTTTGATTCTACCGCAACTTGCTTACTCTGCAGGACTTAAAAGCTCCACCCTATTTCATATGAATTTTGTCTGTGACTCTTTTGTCTGTCTCTTCATTCCCAGCCCTTTCTAAGTGGTTGGAGTCAATTTAACAGCCATTACCCAACAATGCCTTCCCAGCCCTCCTGAGACTTCTCGTCCAAACCCAGGGCCCAGGCCTCCCTCTTTGGTCTGAGGCCCCGTCTCTTCCATTCTAGTTTTTGATTTGAGGGATCTGCCTCTTCCCTAAGAATTAATTCACACTTCAGATGCAACCCTACCCTCTCCACCCATAGATAGGGCTGGAAAAGGACCATTTTTTTGTCTTTCAATCTAGCTCTGAGTAATTACTTACTTGTTTAATGATAATAATTATTATTTTAAGGGCTTACTATGGGCTAGGCAGCATTCTTTATAGAAATTATCTTAATTCTCCAAACAGCCTTTTGCTAATGGTAATATTGCTGTGCCCATTTTACAGATGGTGTAATAGGGACTCAGATATATGCAAATGGAATGAATAAACAAATTAACAAATGGATAGATGAAAATGATGAATTGCGAATGGTCTGGCCATCACGGATAAAAACTTTTCCCTTCTGGCCGGGCGCCGTGGCTCACGCCTGTAATCCTAGCACTCTGGGAGGCCGAAGCAGGCGGATTGTTTGAGCTCGGGAGTTCGAGACCAGCCTGAGCAAGA